TTGGGCCCCATTCCATCAGATCATGGCTGCAGAAAAGTGCTATGTGCTGTCCGTCATGGGCAAATCCCCTTTTATGGTGGTACCTAAAGCCTTCACTTGCAATGTACTGGGCAGGAATTATTCTTCTCTCTTACAGTTCATCCAGATGCTCAGCCCCCTTGTATACAATGGGAGGGAGGGAGGGGTTCGTCACTTCTTAATCCTGATGGAGCCTAGATGAAAGCCAGGTATCAACACCTCTGTGTGCACTCCCTGCACAGAGTTTAGTTGGCTGTGCTGAAGGCAGGATCTTTGACATGGTACAGCTGTTGGAGAGAGTGGTTTAAGAGGCCCTGACCAGCTTTGGAGCTTCTTGAGAAGTAAGCAAGAGGCCTCAACATCTGCTTTCTCCCTGCTTTTGGAGTTACACTTACACTGTGGCCACTGCCCATTTGCTGAGCAAGGCTTCAGCAATGCCTGTGGCTGGCTACATTCCTCACTGATCCACATCCAGACTGCTGACTTCATGTCCTGCTTAGTTTCATGCCTGCCTCATCATCCATGGACTTGTCTGATGGTCTGGACTCCTGACTAAACCTGGTGACTGTCACCAGACCTGCTTGGCTCATGTGCTGCTGTGATTTACCTCTCATAGGTGAGGCTGCTGCCTCTGCCTGTTTTGGTGACTCTGGGTTTATTTTCCCTTATGGAGCTGCTCACTTCTGCTGCTCCTCAGTGCCTGCATGCCCAGCTCTGTCAAATGTGAAGTCTTTCTTTGCATGCCCAAAAGCATACTTTTTATATAGAATTTCAAGATCAATGATATCTCTCCAAAGCAAACTACAGCCAAGATGAGATCTTCACATTTACAGCTTTGGATTACAACTTTACTCATTTTTGGGGAAGTTGCTCCCTTTTCTGAATTAGATCCTATCTTGCCATTCCTCTATGCAAACAAATGCCATTAGCACAGGCATCTTTCACTCAAGTTCACTGTCTAGGCTTTCATTATCAGTAAAGAAGCAAGACTTAAATTAACCCAAGGAAGATATCTAAGATTAGGTGAACCCTGCTTTTAAAATGATGTTTTTTCCGATACATGCTAAGCTAGTTAGAACTCTTAGGTGGAAACATCTTCACTGAGGTCACCTAAGGGTTTAGTAAGCTAAATCCTATTCCAGGCCACATTATATACTTTCAGACCTTGCAGCTGAAAGCCATGATAGATTTGTATTTAGAATACATTTGCAGCCAAGAATAACCAGTATCTTCCAGACACTTCAGAAGGAGAAGGCTATTTTGAAAATGAAAGTCCAGCTTCATGCTTAGATTTCAGATTCAGGCTTTCCAAGGGCAAGAGGCTGGATCCAAGAGATCACAGTCCTTTCTTTCCTGTTTCTGCTTTGCAGATGCGTCACCAGTCATTACGCACTTGGCAAGGACATCCCACCAGCTCCTAGATTCCAACATACAGTACAGAAGAGACAGTCAGGAGGGCTGCAGAGCTTAGGATATTTCTGGCTTGTGTTTGAAGACTACAGCCAGCTGGCTTCATTTACCAAGTTTTCTAAATCTAGCTAATCCTACTGGCAGATTCAGCTTTTGTGACTTTTCCATCCCTCCTGCTTCACTTTCCTTGAAGGAAACAGGGAACAGCTGTTTGAACAGCAGATACAGCCTGAACGGGCAAGCATTTCTCTGCTCTGTGCTCAGCCCATGAAGTGAGGTGATGGCTGCTCCTGCAGAGGAGAGGATGGGAGAGGTGGCAGCTCGTGAAGTAACACCTCTCTCCTCCTACCCTAAAACAGCAAAGGCAGTGTGCATCTCTCTGCAGGAGCAGGGACAAGGCGTGGGTGTTAGTGCAGGCAGCAAGGCGTAGAGAGCTGGTGGGTTAGTTGCTGGAGGACAAAGCCCTGTCTCAGTCTATTTGTTGAGGTCAGAGTATCACACATTCAACTACACAAGAGCCCAGACCAGGTAGAATTTCATGTCATCAGTTGTCAATGACATCATAGCTCTTTGAGTTCCTTCCCAACATTTTGCAGTCCTATTCCTTCCCTTGTCTTCCACCCACATGGAATGACTAGAAATGAGAATGAGTGTTTACAGCTGCCATTTGTAACATTGTCATGTCATTAATGTGAAAACACTGGAAAGATTTTTTTCTTGATCTGGAGTGCTAAAGGGCAGAGATCTTCAAATCTCACAAAAGAGTTGAATGGGTCATAATCCCCCATTCTACATTTTGTAAACAGAGCACTTTGTAATGCAATAACCAACAATATAACTACACTACTAATAATACATATACTGTTTTCTGATGTTGTTTCTAATTAAATGGCAGAATACTGTAGTCTTCTTTCACTCAGTTCTTATTGCAGTTTTAATGCCTATACACATGCTGTTTGATAGTGTGATTTGCTAATAGCATCATGCTATTATATCAACATCAAGTAGTTACTTGCAATCCCATTAGGCAGATCTGTTGGCAATGCTTTCTTTCAGACCTTTTATTCAGTTCCATACTAGCTACTTGAGCTATGCTATTTATTGCGGATGAGTGCCTCACATTCAGCGTGTTTTGGGGGTGGTTGCAGAAAGTTAAAGCTAATGCAGTTAGCCTGTTTCTCAGAAGGTGGAGAAGGAAAGAGATAGGTTGGTTTTGCCCATGTTTGGTGATATCATGCCATTATCTCATATAAAAGTGCTTGTTTTATGGAAGACAGCCTTAAAATTTGGCATAAGGTACAAGGTCAACAGGAGTTAGCAGAGCCTGTATAGGCAGCATGAATTTACATGCGATAAACTTCTCCCTGCACAGGCCACATTTAATCTCACATCCTATTGCCACTTGTTCATCCGTTCTTCCCCTCAAGCACCTCTCCTGTTGCCGGGGGGCTTCTGTGTTGCAGCATTTGAGAATGTAAAGCAGAAGCATTGTCTCTTCTGTGCTCAGAGCAATTTCCCTGCTGGCACTCAGCTTGTTGGAGAGCAGCTGACCTCAAGCACAGAAATAGGAAGAGAGGGGAAGTTACTAGAGTTTGGGGAAGAGGCCTCACCTCAAGCATGTAGAGGTAAGAGATGCAAAGGGAGCTGTGGGAAATGCAGTAAACAGAGCAATGAGAAGGTGAAAAGTGGAAGGGGACAGAGCCTGAGTGCAGCATGGCTTTTCAGTCAATGTTTCTAGTTGTGGAGGTAGTTAGGGTGTGGGACACTGGTGCGCAGGGGAAGCATGTAATTGGTAACTTTCATAAAACATTCCCAAGCAGGGGAACAAAAAAATCTCCAAGTGTCAGTGCTAGCTCCTGTTTGTTTTGGCCAAGGGATAGAAGTCCATGTAACAGATCTAGAGGTCAGTCTCCTGCTGATGACATTTCTATCAGGGAATACAGTTCTGCATAATTAATTTTTTCCCTTGTTTTGGATTTAATAACTGATCAATACAAGCATTTCTCTATGTGCTAACAATATAATTTCTCCAATAATGTTTTTTCAATCTTGCTTGCTTGGATATAGTTACAGTGAAGGTGACCTGCACAACCCTCACGAGTCATCCTGTGCACAGACTGTAGTAGACTTTCATTGCATGATCACATATTCTTTCTTCCACAGTTGCCTCTGTATGTTGTAGTGCATAGGGCATTGGGATACTGTTGATAATTTGCTGTAATTTTTAAAGCAATGAGATGTATATTTCTGAATTTTAGTTTCAATGGAATAGAAATGGTTTGTTCCCATAGAGTTATCACAGAATTGTTATGGTTGGAAGGGATAACAGGAGGTCATCTAGTCCTACCTCTCTGCTCAAAGAGGGTCGAAGAACATATTTCAAAATTACTTCTGTAGCAACACCCAGGTGTTTGTTGTATTTTAGAGATGGAGGAAAAAACCCATCAAAATCAGTCGTTGCCCTCGGTGGTTTTTCCGTGATTTTGTGGTGCTTAGTATTTGCTTCTCTTGTTCAATGCAGGAAGCTGTGTTGTGACAAGAAAGGCTTTCTGCAACTGGTACAGATGAAAATGTATCACAACAACTGAGACAGCAGCTAAGTAACACAGCATGTGTTAGGCAGCAGCACCTCAGCTGAGCCAGAGGTCAGAGGTGGTACTGCTCCCCGTTATCCTGGGATGGTGGCATCCCGTGGGTAGAATACATTTTGCTCTGGGAGAATAGCCTCCAGAGGGAAGGCTAAACTCTGTTGTCCAGACTTTGCATTTGATTAGCAACCAGTGAAATTAATAGTGGAAGAAAAATGGATCCCATTTTCAAAAAAAAACCAGTAAGTAGAAACAAAAATGGCTGATAGAGCTACTTGGCTCTTAAAATTTTCTTGAATTTATTATGGTGTTTAAAGTTTAAGAAAAAAAAACCCCTTCTCTCTGAAATGGCAAGTTTTCTCCAAATATAGAGCTGGTGAGAAAAATGTGAACTGACTTTACCAAAAATATCATCTATGCTGTGAACAAGTCTCAACTACATTAAAGCAGTGGATCTTGGTTACCCTGCCCCTCTCACCCTGCTGCTGCTCTGTGGGGGCCAGCATTTCACAGGGGATGATGAAGACCAGTGAGAGCTGCTCTGTGCAAACCAGGCTGCTCTGTGCCTCAGGGCTTTCCCAAACCAGTTTTTCCTGAATAACATCACCTTATGATCCTGTCAGCCCTGAGAAGAAAAAGGAGGAAGGGAAAAGACACCACAGGCTTACTCAGCAAGCTGCAGGCCATTGCTGTCTCCTCTGCCATGTCCATTTAGGTTCTGCAACACCAGAACCTGTGTCTTGGCAGCTCTTTTTGCTCCTGCAGAACATGCAACAGCCCTCACAGCTCCTCCTTATCATCTTATCAGGGCAGATCAACCCCACCATTACTCTTCTTGTAGTCCCTTTTAAAGGCCATGCATTTTGAAGGCCCTGTGCCCTCTCAACACTTACGTATGTTGGTCACTGGCCCCTATCTGGTCACATACATTTTAACTGTACAGTTAAATTAGTAATTTTCTGAGTCAGTGCCAGAGTTTCTTACCTTGGGCTCCTTGACTGTAAAACAGTCTGTGAGCAGACTCGACATCCAAAAAGTAGTCCATTTTGAAGGTGCTTTGTGTACAATACTCCGGTATGAACGATCAGTCAGATTCCTAGAAAAGATTACAGAGATGTCAGAGAAAAAAGCTGGTGGGTTTCTTTGTGGAAAGTACTGTGTAGGCAGGCACTAAAGTACTTCATCTGGCATATTAGGGTCAAAGTATTTTCAAGTCACTATTCATAGAACTTCATAAGCATCCTTTTCTATTTTAAAATGTTTGGTTCAAAACCTTGTCTAAAGACAAAAAAGAAAAGTGCTACTGCAGTATTAGTAAGATTCCTTGTATCTTCCTAGTGCAATCACCTGTACTCCAGTCAGAGTCTCCATTTCTTAAGACACATACTTGGATTCATCTGCCTGTTACATTTGCCCTTAAAAAGAAAATCAGAAAAGCTCAGGACAGGGAGCTCCTTTTGCCAGATTCACAGCCAGTGCCTGAGTAGGCACTACTATAACAGACTACATTAAAAATTGCATTCTTGCCACTTATGCCAAAATGCTGCACTAGAAAGGAAGACACAATATTCTGGATATTTCACTCCACCTAAATGGACCAGAAGCCAACCCTGCCTTTCCTCTCTCCTCTTGCTGACCAGAAGTAGCAACAGAACATTCCACCATCAGTTTTAAAATATGTGGTAAGAGCAATCATTAAGAAATGGTAGGCTACTCTTAGCACTGCTTTTTAGCTAAGGTTCATATTTTTGGCATCCTTTTGAATCATAGATCTGCTGAGATCCTGGATTACAACTCTGGATTACAACAGTGTACAAGATGTACACTGAATTATGTTTGCCTGTGCCTGGCAGAGTACCTGGAAAGATATTGTGACCCTTCTCCAGCTTCATTACTACCTTCTGCATTTTATTGTACTCTTAAAAACTCACATAAAAAAATCCAAGATTTGCAGAAAACATACAACCCCGTTCTCTCACCCACATCACAGTTCACCACAGCATGTAATCATAAGCATGCAAACAACTCTGAACAACACGTATTTTAAGACAGATGGACAAAAATACCTCTAGTCCTTTTCCGTGCAAACCTAACAAAAAGGTTTGAGGCAGGGAGTCTGATTCTTGCTTCAAGTAATTCCTTCAATTTGGCTGTGAAAAGTCAGGAAACTAGGTTTCCAAAGGTTTACCTTTTTCCTTTGATTCAGTTCTCATCAATCAACATGCAGTCCTTTTAAAATTCAGAAGTCTGTCCTGATGAGAAAACTTTTACGTTCCACAGCAATTCACTTTCCTGTAGCACTCCCAAACCAGAAATGATACTTACTGCAGAGTATCAAGGGCTGTCTGGCAGTGGTGTAAGCTCCAGTAGTTTCAAGGAGGGTTTCTTTGATCTTACTAAATGTCCCCAGTGTAAGCAAACAATTTTGATTGTTTGATTGGAACTCTGATGAATAATGCATAACGTCAACTGGACTTCCTTTATCAGATAAAAATGGCCAGGAGATGTTGTTACTTAGCAACAGGAGGTGACACTACGTTCATCTCCCCCACTCCCCCTCGCCCTTCGTACTGAAAAATTAAGCCCCTGGTTTTGATTTGATAAAAACTTTCCCAAGGAAAAAAAAATCTGTATCAAGTTTCCTTAAGAATTTTTTTTACACATTGTTCTTCCTTGCTGTATCTTATATTCTGAGATGTTTTTAATGTTTCATAATGGTTAAATTTGAATATAACATTGTGTTTTATCTAATAGTTTGCTTTCACTAAGTAAAATACCTGCTTACTCCATCATTTACCATAAGGGTAATGAGATTTTGCTATGAATATAATGCAAATAACATCTTGAGAAGAGATTCATTTCTTATCTGGTACTGCTTGTTGGACAAGGCAGACAGAAAAAGCAACACACAAAATGTTCCAGTGATGCTATGACAAATATACAATATTGAGAAACCTTTCCTATTAAAGAATCCCTACTGCAAGTAATTAATTTATTCTTGAAGGAGCTCTAACATCTGATACAAGCATTCTCAAGGAATCGTTGCATTTCTGCTTAAGATACAGCCTTTTACAAAATACACAATGTAGCTTTTTTTAGGAAATGCACATTGACAAAAAGCCAAAGCACTGAAAGATTTTAAAAATAAATAAATAAAATCAGATGCAGAAGTACTTACCAGTGTTACTGACCTCTTTCCATCCTACTGTCATGGAATAAGACTAAGCAAATGCAACCCAGTCTGTGAGCCAGAAAGAACAGCTTCTAATTTTCACTTCAACCTCGAAATCAAGAGTACTGAAGAGAGAAAGGTGACGGATCTGCTGTTTTATATTATGATGAAATGAAAGCTTTTAGCACAGATCTGAGTAGAACTGCTTTTTTTTATACTACATTAGCCTGCTAATTTGAGGAAAGTGAAAGGCTTTGTTTTACTGTCTTTTATCTGTTCTCTTTGCTACCCCCACAATTTAATTTGCATTTAAAATTATTCTTATGTCTCCACTGCACTCCAAGGTATGGAGCATTTTCTAATCACGATGAATGTTCAGTGTGGTTTTTTTGTGCAATGCCACTTTTATTCTGAGCCAGAAACATGGTGAGTAATTATAATTGCTAGCTATTTTCTAGAATGAAATACAGAGTGGTTGTCTGATGCAGTTTTTGATTTTTCCTTCATTTAGCACTACATTGCAACAAACTACTCAGTCAAAGCATCAGTAAAAATATAAATCAGAGAGCACAGTGTCATGGCATGATAGCTTAAACATGCATATCCATAGACCGTGAAAGCAGAATATGTTTCTACTGAGATCTTTTCAATTATAATTTGCCTTTTCAAAGTTTAAAAGTGATCTTGAATAGCTAATAAACTGAAATATAGCAGCTATTTCTTTGTGGCTTGCAGCTGATCTAGTTTACTTATTTTTCCTGGTATTACTGAAGCTGCACATAGTCTGGAATCCTGATCAAGCCAGGCACTAGAGGCTAAGAAGGGCCATGCTATTAAGTTGCATGGGCATCCCTCACAAGAGGATTACGACCCTGATTTTTCCAGCAGGTCTTTGAGAAGTTCCCCAAAGCCTTTTTGGAAATGAGTAAGAAATTGAAGAAGGTGGTGATAAAATGATCCTTTCATAAATTTAAACTCAGGAGTGCTGGTCAAGAGAAGTGTCAATAAGCAGTCAGACCTAGTCTTCCCATTTTTGCAGATATTTTGCTCAAAAGGTCAGATATAAATGCCTTCTGAAATCCATTGACCCCAAACATTACTGATGCTCAAAACTGGGTGTTCTCAAAAATTGGATTTTCCTTTCAGTATCAGAAAACTATATCAAGTAGCATAGGATTTTTTGTTTGTTTTTAAAATGAAACCAAATAAGATGAATAAACCCTTAGAGTACAGGGATTTTTTTGGAACAAGTTAGAAAGTAAGAATCCCCATGAAGAGATTACTACATGGCTTCCTGTTCCTAAGACTTCTTATATTCTTTTCCAGAGCACCCAGACAGCATCAAAGATAAGGAGAAGCTACATGAGCTCCATGTAGAGTCTGGTATGGCTGTTCCTACACTGGCACTCCACTAAATATAGTTGGATTGAGTAGGTGTCTCCCTGTGCCACCTTAGTGGTAGATCTGGTTTACCAAACTGTGTTCCTGTTTTCGGAGATGTGACAAACATTTTCATTCCTAAAGACAAATTAAAGCAAAAGCAATCCACAAGAACACTGCAAGCTGCTTTCTTTGCACTTTGGAGAGTTGCTAGCGCCTCCATCTTTGCATTTTGGAGGGTTTGTATTTGCCATGGTGACTACTGAACAGTAGCTGTACAGCTATGTAGTTATATAGCTGCACAGCTGTCCCTCCAAGCTGGCCTCTGATAATAATTGGATCCATTATCTTATGGAGCAGGGGCCAGTTGCCTGTTTAGCCCAGCTGGCTTTCTCTAACATAGAACCAGGAAAAATAAGAAAGGCTGGCAGCACAGAGATTCAGAAGGAAAATGGAAGACAGGAACATCACTCACTCCAAGGATTATGCCTGTTTGCAAGCAATATGGAATACTTTCGGTTTTTCCTCGGGACACAATCTCTCAGTCAGAAGGAAGCTGAAAAAAACTACAAGCTTGCAGGCTGGAGAATCCTATCCTTTAGCCTTTGATGTATCCTCTTGATTGTCTTTGCTGTGTCCCTTTCAATATGGATGGTCATCTTCAATCATGACTGGCAAGCGAAGTCATTGAAATCACCAGCAGCCTCTCTACTGACCATTTCAAGATCATCCATCTTGATACTTTCATCCATCTCAGAGATTTACAGTTTATTTTAAATTATAGTGCAGCATTTCTGACAATTGCTAAGAGCTCTTTCCGACTAGGGAGCACTTAGCAACAAGAAAGGTATACAGCGCCTATGTATTTATAAGCTTCTATGGCATTCATCATCATGAGGGAAATCCTTGCCTGCCTGATTAGAAAATCTCTAGGGTGGTAATGTGGGCTCAGATTTGACCCACAGTCCAAGAAGAGCTCAGCCCTCAGAAACAGAAATGCAGTACATCCCGTTCAGTTGAAAAGCTTACATGTGTAGAGAAATGTGCAGGTGAAACAGATCTGTTTTAAGCATGATCCCCAGATCAGGCCTCACATACCCCTGAGGCTGACTGGGAAAGTTCTGCACAACTCTTGTGCTAAAGCACAGTCCACTGAGATGTGTACTCTGAGTTGGTTTCCAATGAACAGCAGAGCATCTCAGGGGACAGAACAGGGAAGGGCAGCAGTAGCAGAACCAGAAACTGTACTCTCTAACTTTCTGTTTTTCCTGTGCTCTGTCAAGGCCTGAAGCCAAACTTGCAAAACTTCTATTGACTGGACCTCTTATCAGCATAGATCCCTGTTTAGGATAACGGTGAAGTGATTTTGTAACATACACAGGTATCTATATAGGACTAGACAGAGACTGAATGCTTTGTGAGCTAGACCATAATGCCAACCAATCAAACTCTGCTAAAGAAATACTTGGAAAAAACCTATCACACTCAGGAAA